CTCTCTCTCTCTCTCTCTCTCTCTCTCTCTCTCTCTCTCTCTCTCTGGTGTGATGAACTGAACTTAGATCATCGTGTGCAGCAGATAGCTTACTGACTGAGCTGTCTCCACAGTCTCATGCCCATGCTTTCCCTAGGCTCTTTTCTGTGGTATCTTAACTTTCCTAGATGACAGGACCTGCCATTTCCCTTAAGCAAGTTCCCAAATTGTTGGAGTTTGAATTTGAATATTTTTTTTTTTCAGGGAAAAAAAGAGATTAGTGACCAATGCAGTTCCTGTCTCTGTACTTAATGTGCCATTCTTAATCCTCCCAGAAAAGTGTTTTTTTTTTGAGGGGGGAGGGGGTAGGAATTTCACTTTGTTTTCATCCAAGGATTCTAAGGCTATACTACTGAAAGACCCCTGACAGTTCTATTCTACTCTAACACGATAGTGAGAGCTGGGGCAAGCGGGGCGGCGGGGGGGCCCCGGCGTGGGAAGAGGTATATGAAGAAAAACTGATACTTTGATCAAGAGAGTATCGTTTGGGTCCTTGGTCTCTGCCAACCACTGGAAGTTTTTATATGAGCTGTCAAGTATTTATTAAGTTCTCCAAGCTGAATGGGAAGTACATTTTGTCTTAATAAGTCATTCTTATTTTCGATTCAAAGTACAGCTCCCGGGTCTGGTACAAAGTAAGAATTATTGAACTGGGGTCTGCATTGGGGGCTGTTGTTTCCTATCACCAAGGAGCATGAGTCAGAGTAGTAAGATGTAGTTGGTTAGCCCTTCAAGACAATATTCAGGCTGATGCAGAACTACAAGAAACTTAGGCTTTGGGATGTTTGTAGTGTGAATTTTAATTGGTCTTAATAATAACAACCTGGAGTCAGATATAGGGGTTAGTATTGAAAGATCAGAGGAGCAGAGCAGCCACCACTTCTGACCTGTGCGGAATCTCAGATCAAAAGGACGATTCCGTCCCTACGAATCCTTAGACTGAATGCTCTCCCCTCGAACCCTCAGATTGAATCTACTTTTTTATTCTATGTTGATATCCCCCCTTTTCTTTCCAGAGTAGAGTCAATAATCTTCCTTTATCATATCTACGCTTACTTCTAAAAGGCTCAGCAAAAGTTAGCAAAGCAGTTGCTTGTTCTGTTCTCCCCCTTTCTTGTCCTTCTCCCCTTTTTCTTCCTCTTCCTTTTCTTTCTCTGTGGCAATGACTCTTCCCAAGCTACCTTCCAGGAAATGCTGGTTATAGGAGGTAGAAGGAAGAAGTAAGAAACATGGCTGTGTTCCAGGGCTCTCTGTTTCCTGGGACTGAGCCCACTTTGATCCCACAAGTACCTGTGCCTGGCTGCATTCCTGGGCTTGTTTGACCACTGGCAAAGACCACTAGACATGCTGTCAGTGAATCTGATTCCTGGTGCCATATGGAAAATCTCTATTTCATGGTCGAATGGGAAGGCATAGGAAGTGATTAAGTGCAGTTGCTTTGAGAGCTAATTAAGAGATGGTAGGACTATGGCAATGAAGTCCCCGTTGTCTCGCTGCTAACCTTTGCTGTAGTCTATCCACTCAACTGGAAAGTAAATACCAAAGAGGCCAGCATTTCTTGTTTTGGAAAAATCAGGAAAACTCGGAACCTGTCTTCCCTGCTACATGTCTGAGGTGACAATGGCTGCAACCTCTCCACTCTGTCCACGGGTACAGCAGGTTCCAGACATTGGTACACCACAGTGCTCCTTTGCTTTCCTTCCAAAATCTCCTTCCCTATTAGTTTTCTCTTCACCTGATCTAACTGTATTGGAAGGTTCTTGTCTCATATTTTGCTTAGGAATAATCTTGTTTTCAATTCTTTTTAGGGTGTGAGAATGGGAGACTATTCATCAGCCTACCCAGGAATGAGTATCAAACCATGGAGGTGAAGAACAACTCGATTGCCATCACCTGTGATGGGCTTTATCTCATCTACATGAAGGGCTCTTTTTTCCAGGAAGTCAAGATCAACCTTCATTTCCGAAAGGGTCGAAGTCCCGTCCCTCTGCCCATGATTAACGATGGTCAAAGGGTTGACTTCACTTTGGTAGCCTCTTTGGCCTTCAAAGATATAGTTTACTTGACTATAAATGCTCCTGATACTTCCTGCGAAAACCTCCAGATAAATGATGGGGAATTGTTTGTTGTCCTGCTAACACCTGGTGGATTCTGTGCCCATTGAAGATCTCATGATAACACCATGAACCAGGTGCCACTGTGAATTCCACTCTGTGGGTGGGCAGGACACAGGTTTCTTCTTGGGAGAGATGAGTCCATCCAGTTCAACTGTAGGAGATGTGACCAAATGCAGATCCTACCCTACTTCCTCACTCAGGGATATTTAAAACCTGTCCTACGTGGCAGTTGACCTCACAATCCCATGATTGCCTTGAGCCTACTAAGAGACCTTCTGGGAATGAGAAAATAAATGTCTCTTCAAGATACATTGTTTCTGCTGGTCAGAAGATTATTGTAAAAAACTTTTGTCACTGAAAACAGCACTTGGCTACTATTTTCTAGACTTTCGGCATTGTCAAAAGAAAGAACAAGGAATGAGTGGCTATGAATCTGGAAAAGGGTGGTGTCCACCAACCAGTGACAGCTGAAGTGCCCTCTCCAAGGCTAAAGTGATTAATGTTTACAAGTTGCCGACAGCCCTCTTTCATTTCATGGGTGCTCAGAAGGAAGAGCGCCCTGTGGAAACCAGGACTGGAAGACAGCTGTTTAAGTGACACTCTGGGTCTCCTGCTATCGCTTTTCTTTCTTGGCCTCTAAACACACATAATAGAAAACTCCCTTTGAAGAACTCTCCTGGGGCTATGATTCCACCCAAAAAGTCTCATCGGTGGTGGAATAGTTCGCCCCTAAGGTTATTTTTATTATACAGAATAATAGTGAACTGGATGTTTCAGGATGAGAATTTTCACAGTCTGAAGACTGATTTATAAGTTCTCTCTTCCAAAACTTCCATATAAATTTTTGATAAATTTTTACATTGTAGTATTTTCTGGCCATTTTCAATAGCAGATACAACGCATCACAAAATCTCTCTAGATGATTCTGTATCCCCCTAAGGATTACTGTGTTACAACAAAGCAATTATCTCTTGAACCTCCAGGAAGCTTGAAGTCTATTAATCTTTGTATTAAGTAAGCTAGTTCAGTTATATTTGGTTTTTTATCTGATAATTTTGTATTTTCTCTTAAGCGTCGATCTATAATTATATTCCCCACTCTGTTTCAATCTGTTATGAAAAGAGTTGAATAAAAATGCTACATAAAAGAGTTTGAGCATCAGATAACCATCGGTATTACTACTGGAAAGCCTACTGTGGGCCACACATTGGGCTGAATGTTTTACATTAATTACTTGGGGTAAAATATTCTGTGATCTTTGTCTTGGTGACTCAGGAGATTTGTGTGTGTGTGTGTGTGTGTGTGTGTGTATTCAGTTTTGGTTATTGACTATGTTTTGTAAAGTTGTTCTTACCTAATAAGTGACAGTTGAAAAAGCAATTGTTTATAACTATGGGTTAATATTTAAGAAAATACATGTTTTGCTTTTTAAGTTTGGGATTTAAGTCTGTTTGTTTTTACAGATGTGCAGTGCACAGGTCTAATCTAAGCATCACTGTTCTGTTGGTTGTTGTCTTGAGTGCCATGGCCTCTGCTCTGGAACCTCCCTCCCCTGGAGCACACCTGGCCTGCTCCTTTTGTACTGGTCTCTGTTAACCACTCTGGGATATTGTAAGCATGTGCCAGACTCAATCACCTACCTGACTCCATGCGTGGTCTGTGTCTCAGTTTCCTTATCAATTCTTCCAAAGGAACAATTAACCCTGTGCTTTACACAATGAAGAGATTCAGGAAATAGGAACTGAGTAGGAAAACAGGAGCCAGGAAATCTAAATTTGACTCAGTCACAAAGCAAGTGACCTTGGACAAATGGCGTTCTATTTCTGCATTCTGCTTCCCCTAGTAACCTGACCGAAAAAACCCATGAAATGTCTAACAGTTTGGAACATTATGTTCATAACATTAGCCTAGGATATCCCACATGCTAAATGTCTCTGTGTTGGGTAACTTTCTCTTTGACTGAATGGAAGCTGTTTTTTTTGGGCGGGGGGACGATTTGGGTTTTGTTCTTTGTTCTCTTGTCTGCTCTTCGCAAGCTACACATTTTCCCTTAGGCTTCTTGATAACTCTGTCCCGAAAAGTTACCCGCTGTTATCTACTGGCATTGTTTACAGGATGATACAGGGAGGAGTCTTTTTTTCTTAATGAAGGTAAAAAATTCCTTTAATTTTTAAGATATTAACTGTAACTACACACTGTATTAAGTTCGTTTTGGAATGTCAATCATAATATGTTCTTAAGCTTATCAGGTGGTTTCCTGGTTTTTAAGCCATAATTTTGTATTCAGTGCATTCCTGACTCAGAGAGTATAACTATTAATGTTAGCAATATAGATAATAATACTGTTGGTGTTTACACGGATAGAATAAAAGACCTTAAAATTCATTGGTGGTTAGAGTGTTGTTTTTCTTTGTGTTTCTTTTCAACATATCCTGATTAGCTAGTTCCTCATAAGCATGAGGAGGGAGCAAGCTTTCTGGCTTCCTTGCCTGCCTCTGTCCAGGGGCTGGCTGAGCTGGAAGTCAGGGCCCTTGCTCACAGTTTACGGTTTCTGGCTATGCTCGGTTCTTTCAAGCATACAGGGGCATACAGGGCTTTTCATCTCACGTCTAGCCCTGGATAATCTGAGAATTAGGTCCCCTCTGCCTGGTAGCATTTACTTGCTGTCTCAAAAAGAGGTCACAAGTATGAGTGGCTTTTGTGACATCATATGGCCACAGGAATCTTGATATTTATGACTCTCTCTTCTCTAAGTGCTTTTTAGCCTTAGTTTCTTTGGACTCTCCTTCCCTTCCCCTTTTCTCTTTCTTTTTCTTCTCCCCCTCTCTTCCCTTCTCTTCATTTCCCCCTCCTCCCTTCCCCTTTCTTACTCTCTCTTTCCCTTCTCTTCATTTCCTTCTCCTCCCTTCCCTCCCCCCTCTTCCCCTTTCTTACTCTCTCCTTCCCTTCTCTTCATTTCCCGTTGCCTTTCCTTCTCTCCTCCTTTTTGCTTCCCTTTCCTCATCTCCTCTTCCCTTCTCCCAGCCTGCCTTTTCTATGCTCTGCCTTTCTTGGTATTCACACCCTTTCTCTGTCCACTGCTCTGGCACTGGTGTAGTCTAGGACTACACAGTCTCCTTCCCCCTCTGTGACAAAGACCACCACTAGGAACTCAACAAGCCCTGATCTGGTTCCAATATTTAAACACTGAGAACTTTCTCAATGCTTTGAACAATAAAGCAACAAACAGTACAGTTTTGATTTTTGGCATGCTAATAACCATCTCCAGTGGGGGGACAGTTTCTCTCTCCAGGAATGTTCTTCTTTCTCAGTTTTTTCAAGATCTATCATTGGAATTATGTAATGATATCTTCATTATTAATAAACAAACAAACAAACCCTCACATACTGAGTACTCAACCTATTCTAGGCATTGTATTAGCCATCTTCTAAAACCTGTTTAATTCTGTATTCCCAGTAACTCTTTTACGTAGACATTACTATGATTCCTGTTTTAAACACAAGAACTAGAGACCCTCAGGTAAATTTGCCTAAAGTGCACAAATGCAAGACCAAAGATATTGACACCAAAGAGCATGCTCTTAAGCTCTGTACCTCTGGCCTCCATGAGTATCTCTATGTGGATGGAGTGGACACTTCTCACAGCATGTCCACTGTAGAAAGCTCTGCCTTCCTAGCTAAGCTCATCCTCCCGGTCCATGGTGTTGACCAAAGGTATCTTAATCATTCCTGAATCTACCATCTTCCCTCCTTCGCCCTTTCTTCAAACCATTGATTATGGTTTCAGTTTCTCCATATTAATCCTATTTTGTATTATGGCAGTAAGTGCTCACAAGGCCTACTTCAGAGTTCTATTTTGATACACATTAGTCAATGAATGAGCAAAATGTGTAAACAAAACAAGGCAGAAAATGGAGAAAGCACAGTATTGAGAATACAGCTTTAAAGACTCTTATTTAATAGCTGAGTGATTTTGGTAAATTTTATTCTAACCACTCAGAATTTTATTTTTCTCTTCTATCAAATGAAGGTATTAATACATGTCTTAGTGGTGTGGAAAGTCCTTCTATATATGTGTTGCTTTTATTGGCTAATGAATAAAGCTGTTTTGGCCAGTGGCTTAGCAGAATAGGGCAAGGAGGGAATTCCAAGCAGATAGAGGAGGAGATAGTAGGCAGAGTCAGGGAGAAGCCATGTAGCCATTGCAGGAGACAGACTTCAGACACCAGACGGAACCTAACCAGTAGGCCACAACCATGTGGCAAAACACAGATGAATAGAAATGGGTTAGTTTAAGATATAAGAGCTGACTAGCAATACACTTAAATGATTGATCAGGCAGTGATTTAATTAATGGAGTTTCTGAGTGATTATTTCGGGTCTGGGCTGTTGGAAAATGAATGAACAGCCTCCACAAATATCCTAATTAAGGTTTCATTGCTGTGAAGAGATACCATAACCATGGAAATCCTTATAAAGGGAAGCATTTAACTGGGGCTTAAGTCCATTGTCATGGCAAAAAGCATGGCGGTACACAGGCAGACATGGTGTTAGAGTGATAACAGAGGGTTGTCATTAGATAGGGTTACATTTAGATAGGCAGCTGTTAGCACCCTCACTCACTTACCTGGTCAAGGTCACCTGATATGGCCATAAATAATGAAGCCAGGCTTAGATTGAAGGGGGCACAGCAAGACTTGTAAGCAGAGACTGCTCATTCGTTTCCTTGCCACTCTGACCCAAATAATCACACAGAAACTGTCTTAATTACAATGGTGTTTGGCCAGTGTCTCAAGCATATTCCTAGCTAGCTCTTACATCTTAAATTAATTCATTTCTATCAATTTGTGTATTGCCAGAAGGCTGTGTCCTACCAGTAAGGTTCCTAAGGTTCCAGGGTATTCTTCTTCTTTGACAGCTACGTGGTGTCTCCCTGTCTCTGCCTTCTCTCTCTTTTTCTATTTCTTCAGGCCTGGCTATATTCTGCCCTGCCATAGGCCAAAGCAGCTTTATTCATTAGCCAATAAAAACAGTACATATACAGACGGACATCCCACACCAAAGAATGAGGCTGTGACTATTTTACTGAGAGTAATCAGACTTTTTATTACTTAATCAGAAATTATAATAACAATTTCCAGGATCAATTCAGTTGTAGTTGCCAGGACACAATGAAGTTTGCAATCTTCACATTTGTTGTGTGGTATAGGTTGTGTGATATTTTGTTTGTGTTCTGACAAATAAAACTTTCCTGGAGATTAGAGGGTAGAGCTAGCCATTAGTTAACCTGGAAGTCGAACAGTGGTAGCACACACCTTTAATATCAGCACTTGGGAACCTCACACCTTTAATCCCAGCACTCAGGAGGTGGGGAGTGGAAGTGATGAGGCAGGAGGAGATAGGATCTCAGGGCTTCTCAGACTATTTATTGTTGTAAAGAGACATTATGACTATGGCAACTCTTTTAAAGGAAAATATTTAACTGAGGTGGCAGCTTATAGTTTCAGAGGTCCAGTCTATTATCATCATGACGGGGAGCATGGCAGCCTGCAGGCAGACATGATGCTGGAGGAATAGGAAGAGTCCTACTTCTTGCAGGAAACAAGAAGTTGATTGAGACACTGGGCAGTATTCTGAGCATAGGAAACCTCCAAGTTCACCCTTACAGTGACACACTTCCTCCAACAAGGCCACACCTCCTCCAACAAAACCTCGCCTCCTAACAGTGCCACTCCCTAGGAGACTATGGGGGCCAATTACATTCAGATTACTGTAACTGAAAAGATGTTGGCCATACCCTAGAATGTGATGCTGAAAGTTTTCCAGTAAAGAGAATTTACTGCAACTGGGGTAAAAAATTAAGTTCTTGCCAATAATCTGTTTTTCATTTTGACTTAAAATTTCTTTAAATATTTTATTTTCTGTCAATTTAAAAGCACTGAGTTATTTTTTGCTAGATGAGAAAAAAGGAAAAGAAAGTTTCATAGCAGCTAAGTTTATAGTTATTGACAATAATAAGATATTCAGATCTTATTAAATTCAGACTGTTTGTTTAATATAGACCAGGTTGTGTGGCTTTCAGTAGATGATGTTGTGACTGCTACACCATCCCATGGGATTTCAAACATTCCCACATACAAACTACTTAA